CAAGATTAGTCAGAAAAACGGAGGTTAGAAACTATCGATTTTAGAAAGGAAGTTGATTTCCTTTCCTACGGCCGACTCACGAGATGAGTCAAAAGTGTGGCCTTTGCACACGTTACTTGGCCATCAGGGAAGGCCTATATAAAAGGGGACATTTTCCCACCATTCAGATCAGTCCGTCGAAAGAGGTATTGCCACGCAATTCCTGGCAAGTCACTGAAAGAATTAGCCATACGATAAGGACGGAGAATGTCATTAGCGAGAGAACGCTAGTCAGAGTGCCTGTCATACGAGTCCGACAAGTGAAAGTCATGCTACAGAGTTCTCCACACGATGTACTGTATAGAGTTCGTTACACGAGGAGACCGTCATAAGAAGCGTTATTCATACAAGAAATTGCTATATAATAAAAGAAGAAGAATGTCCACAAATAAGAAGATTGGAGAACTGGGAAGGTAATATATTCAGCTCGATTGTAAACTCTCTCTCTCTCGTTTGGTTTAATATAGGATTATTAGGTTTAATTTAGTTCTTAGTGACTTAAGTTCAAGTACGATTTGTTATTCATTCATTTGTATACTTTTAATATTTTTGATTTATTAAATGTTTTAGTTTATTTTATAAATATGGCCTGATTAATATTAGGTATTCACACTTAGTCCTATTCAAGTTACTTGCGTTCCTCATACTCGAAACTCCGAGATTACGCGTGTTAATCCGCGTTTAAGAAAACTGATTAACTGGTGTCAACATCCTGACGTGGATCTGGACTTTACAGTCTATATCCTTATTTACAAAAGCCCTCCTTAAAAATTTAGAGAGCAAATCTTGCGATTTTGTGCCGATTAAGTGGTACCCCCGGCTTATCTCACACTTTACATAAAGTCATACATTATTATGTATGACTTTATGCAAACTTTTAATTTTATTAATCTCCTTGAGACAGTCCTGCATGTTAGTACAATATAAAACTGCTCTCCTGATAAGTGCTTTAAATTTTGATAACTTATATTTATACGGATTTGCCGCTTTGAAATGATATGAAGACAAACGAAGACATTCGTTTCTCCTGTTTAGTATGTTTCATTATCGATCAGTTTTCGTGGTGCCATCTATTTGTTGAGCACGCTATGCCCAGCGATATTTTTACATGAATTATTACACTAACAAGTAAGTCCTTTGTGCGGGGACAGATGTTTAAGTATTGGTTAATTTAGCGCTGGAACTAGCAATCAACTTAGTAACGTATATAAATATATATATATATTCATTTATATAAATATTGATTACTGATTGCTATAAAATTTTCTTCATAATTATTTATATTCTTTTAATTTATTATAATTATTAAATATTTTAGTTAACTTTGAATAAAACGCAGATCCTTTGAAGTTGCGTGTTGTTGTTTATTCCTTCATAGCCATTTGACCGTCAATCTAACTTTTGGATTAACAAGTTATTTGACAGCTTTATATTAAGGAATGTTATTGCAGATGATATTTTGCATTTTATTCTGTAACTCATTCATTTCGTAAAGTGATAAATATTCACAATAGCTCAATTGTAAATGTTAATTACATTAAACTTATTTCGTGAAATTTCACTTTTCATTGCAAACATCAAAACCGTCAATTCGTCATCTTGGCTAGAAAATTCATGATTATTTTTTTGATTAGAGAAAATTCTAAACTCGGGCACAACTTAATACAGATCCATAATTTTAAAACACACAGGAATGGAATTAGTATTTCTGAACCTAAAACAGTATTGCAGCAAAAAGTATTCATAAATGCAAGAATATTCTGCTTTTAAAAAATATAAGATATTTAAAAGTTATTGAACAGTAAATTTTTTATTTTTGAAAAATTTATAGCGGTTTATGCTGAAAATTAAATGCTGTTATGAGCTATAAAAAGTATTGTGGTACTGTAATAAAATAAAGCGCACTCACGCTATTTCAGATTGTTTGATTTCATAACTATTTGTGCACCGAGTTGAAACATCGAGTTTTAATTTTGTAACTTATTTCTTAATTGTTATGCAAGGTTATTCGAAATTCAGTACGAAACTTTTTATTTTACCATCATATCCAAAGAAGTAGTAACGCTAAAATTATGAAGTAAATGACATATCACTGAGTAATATTAAGTCTTTAAGGTAAGATTTTTATCAACATGAATGATTCATTTTATTACAAATCCACTTAGTTCAAAAGGTGACTGTCGATAAGAAAGTATAAAGATCGGGCACATTAGCTGGCAGAAAGAAAGTCAGAAAGAAACAGTTGCAGTATTTTTTTGTAACAACAGTAAATGATGCTAATTTTATAAATGAAAATAAGCAGTTTACTTTTTTCCGACTGTTAGCCCTTTGATTTCACTATAGAATATGCAAATAACAAAATAGATTAGTGTAATGATGATAAAATTATTACGTAAAAGACTTCAAATGTAATGTATTCGTATGTTGTTTATTAGATTTAAAATGAGTATATCTTCAGTCATTTAGTATGAAACTGTACACACTACACACTAATATAAGAAATTGTATACATTTGAAATGTTGCAAAAGTACGTTGTTATATAATTTCACGAAGTTTTTGATATGTTTGTAAAGAATTATGCGTGTTTTTCGTATTATGAATGTAGAAAAAATAATTCTTATAGAATTTCACTAATGATTTTATTTTTCTTACTGTAGTAAATACAGTGGGTGATCGGTTAACGAACAAATCGGATAACAACACTTTCGCGAACGATTTTTATGTTCGGACAACGAACACATGATCGGATAACGAACACCCCACAGAACAAACACAAGAAGAAGCGACGTAAAATAGTGAATACCGACTGGTCTTCCCTTGTTTTCGGGCAACAATTCGAAACTTTTCGGAGTGTGGGAAACGTCGACATTGACGCTCAAGCCAGTATATACCGATCGGATAGTATTCTTCCGAACTTTGAAACTCTCCCTTGTAATTCCAGCCTTTTATTTTTCTGACAAAACAATTTTTTTATGTATTCGCGAGACTGTCGGGTAGGCACAAGTTAAGTTTTGCGTCTGTTTTTTTTTTTCTTTTCAAAAGGTGAGAGTATAATAGCAAAGGTAGAAAGTGGGCAGAAGATGCCTAATGTTGCTGGGCAGTATGGCGTGAACAGGTCTACAGTAGGCCGTAGTTCAATCTTATTTAAGAAAAATACTATATAATCAATAAGACTCAAGCAGCTAAAGGAGTAACAAAAATCATATCTGAGAAATAAAGAACATCGAAGAGTTCGTAATGGAATCTGAAACGGATCTGACGACAGAAGAACGCCAAGAACTCTTGAATGAAGAACGCCAAAAAACTCGGTGAGGTATGTTTTCTTATTGAAAAGAAAATTAATGCCGATATTTGTTATTAAAGATCCTTTGATTTAGTGTGAGGATGTCAGAACAGCAGTCTTAGAATGACATCCAAACCTGGTTGAAGCTTAGGATTTCTACAATTGCAATGCTATAATTATTTACGGAAAATCTGAAGAAGAGAGAAAAGCAAAGACAGATTCTTTAACCCTTTCAAACGGAAAAAACATGACTAATAAAAATGCAAGACTCTGTATGTATGTATTTTTATTATTACATATGAATAAACGTAGTAAGAAAGTATATATTTTTTTTTATTTTTGGGGGCCTCCAGAACGAATTAATTAAATTCCCATTAAAACCTATGGTAAATCGATAATCGGTTAACGAACAATTCGGATAGCGAATAAAGTCTTGGAGCGGATTATGTTCGTTAACCGATCACCCATTGTATATGACAATTTTTCACACTTGAAAGGTCGGAAAATTTACATATAGCAACTTATTTACAAAAATAAATGATTTCTCGAAATTTATGACGAAATATTTTTGGAACATTTCTGAAACAAACAACTACCTATATCTAATTTCTTACAAAAATAAAATATCTTGTGAAATTCTATATAGAATGATTTCCTTCACTATTTAAAGTATGAACAATTTTCATATATGTGCTTGTACTGTACAGTACATGCTAGGAAAACATTCTTACATTCTAGATTGACAATGTTTCAATTTATCGTATATAAACAGTTGTCATTTATTTTTTCCGAAAACCGAAAATTTCCAGAAATTTATCAAGAAAAATTGTTAACATTTCAACTGTAAATAAGTGTTATGTAAAGTACATACTTATTTTTTAAAAAATTAATAATAATTCACTTCTAGCAATAGAATGAAAGGTTCTGTACCGCACTATCTTCGTTTTTTAAGAGAGTGCGGTACAAAACCTTTCATACTCTCGTACGAAAACTAAGTAGCACTATTTTGAAACGTGATAATAAATATATTGCTAGAAGTGAATTATTATTATTATTACTATAAAACATTTTCTGGGTCCATGGCCCCTTTTACCTAAGAATCGCTATCGTTTAAGTTAGGTCTTTTCCAGAAAAAAGTAAATAAAGTAACTTGCTTTTTATGTTTCTATGAAGACAATGTAATTTCTTTAAAAGCGTAAATTTCTCTCTTAGAAATGTTAAGCTTATTTCATACAATTAAATTATTTTTTTATCGTGAAGACAGATTTTTTTCGTGTTGTTATAATTTACTTAATATAGATTGGGGTGATTTTATTTTTTTCGCCTTTACAACACAATATTCAATTATCAATATTCAATATTCAAAGTCAATTAATAATAGCATTTCACTACATTTACATTTATATTCGATCTTTAATTTTAATAAAAGTACAGAAATACATATTCATTTTGAAAATCCTTGATATATAAACGAGGTCAAATACAATACACCCAAAAAAGTAAATTTGCTTAAATCACAGATCTGTCACTTTATATATATAATAAGTTTTAGTTAGGAACATGTCACAATAATATACAGACACATTATATATGTATTGTACTTAAACATATTTATGTGCAAAATGCAGTAAAATTTCAACATACATTTATAATATTTTGTGATATGTTAGCAATATTCTATAATTCATGAGTTCCATCATACATAGTGCTTGGGGAATGTTCCGAATATGTGTAACATCCATCACCAGGTCTATCTATCACAGTTTTTCTTGGTCGTCGTAATAATCCTACGTAACTTTGCTTGAAATTATAGCCCCTGTGCCATCTTTATTATAAGCACCAATTTTTCAGGTATTATTCAAACAAAGTGGTTAATAACATAAATAAGTTTACACTGTAGCTATTGCAGACAATAAATAAATACAAATAGCATGCAAATGCTGCTTAATAAGAAACAGAGAAAAACACCATGCTTTGAAACCGTGTCGTATCTTTGTTTGTTTTTCAATATTCGTTGAAATAAAAGAATGAATAGTGACAAGTGATCGCTATTACGCTACATTGTGTTTATAAAACAAACAGAGAAAAACACGTTGCATTTGTCATTTGACACCGTTGAAAATATGTCATTAAATATGTGTAAATTCGAATTATTATTAGGTAAACTTTCAATTTATCAGAAATTTTATATGAGGGCCTATAATGCGGGTAAATTTAACAAATAACTCTACAACTATTCTACTACAATAGCCTGAGCCTGCAGATAGCACTTTTTATCATCATTGTTAAATAAATAACAGTAAATTATAAGAGCCGCAGCTTAACTGATGCGATTTTAATTCTTCCTGAAGTAGAGTAACCTATATCACAAGCAAAGACGATCGCTCTCAATATCGCACGCAATACAAAAATTACATTTTGAAACTTATTATTTCTACAACAAAAACAATAAAATACAGTACGAATCCCGCAATATAAATTAAAAATGCCCCAGTGAAATTTTCAATTTTCAACGGTTTCACTGATTGCTCCATTTCACTCAACTGAGCAAAAAATTTTCTTTTAATGAGTCCTCCCGCTTCAAAATCAGACATTATGCTATAATAAAAATAAAACAAAAACATGAAAAAAACAACACGTGCTATATCTTTAATATTTTAACTCACATTTTATCCAGAAGATTTTTGTAAGAAAATCCTTTCTTCATCGGAATGGCAGAATAACTTGTATAGAGAACATCGGTCGATACGAAGAACTTATTGTACGGCTCGAACGCAATAATATTCTTAATCGCACTCTCTGAAGTGATGTAAGCTACCTTTCCAGAAGCCATTCGATCAAATAAACGGAAATAGAAAGACTCGAAGTTATTATTTACTACCAGATGATTCATTAAAGTATTTACGTAGGAAACTTTTGAATTCTGAAACGAGAAGCAATTATAACGAATATGTAAAAAATTTCTATTGTTATGTGTGTGTAAAACTAAATTAAAATATCAAAAAATATAACAAAAGGGATGAAACAACAGTCCTACTAGAGAACATCGAATTACCTTTCTTACTATCTAGATCATTTTATTAGTTTGTTTTTATTATCTTTGAAATATGTTAGGAAAATTACATGAAACACAAATGTTTCGAATTTTCATTCTTACCAATTTACTTTGTGTCATTTCTTGCACAATTCTAATTCGGTGACAGAAATTGGTTTATAGCAACTTGATGCCGTATTCGAAAGAAAATGCTTTCCTGTGTTCAAAAAGTAATTAAATTTCAATTCATATTTGCCGTAAATCAAGTTGATATCAAATTATCTAAATACGGCAATTATGAAAGTTTTTATTGCGTATTGCAAATAGGTTTATCGTACTATGCACAGAAAAATGAAAACAGACGTATAATGAGTCCAAGTTTTTTATTATAATTTTAAATTGATTGAAATAATGATATTTCGTTTCATAAAGAATTAACATGTACAGAACGGCCTGCAAATAATAAATTGCTTCACTTCATTTTTTGAAAGCTTCGCAGTCTTATTTGCGTTGTCTTGAATAAAATAACAGTTGCTTCAAACTGCAATAAATTCCAAAATGTTATGATTAAAATAATATTGAACATATTTAATTGAAGTCATTTCATTGATTTCGACGAGAGACCATTTCTTAAANACTTTGTGTCATTTCTTGCACAATTGTAATTCAGTGACAGAAATTGGTTTATAGCAACTTGATGCCGTATTCGAAAGAAAATGCTTTCCTGTGTTCAAAAAGTAATTAAATTTCAATGCATATTTGCCGTAAATCAAATTTATATGAAATTATTCAAATACGGCAATTATGAAAGTTTTTATTGCGTATTGCAGATAGGTTTAGCGTACTATGCACAGAAAAATAAAAACAAACTTATAATGAGTCCAAGTTTTTTATTATAGTTTTAAATTGATTCAAATAATGATATTTCGTTTCATAAAGAATTAACATGTACAGAACGTCCTGCAAACAATAAATTGCTTCAATTCATTTTTGAAATCTTCACAGTCTTTTTGCATTGTTTGAATAAAATAACAGAAGCAACTGTTATTTTATTCAAATTTCAAAATTTTATGATTAAAATAATATTGAACGATATTTAATTGAAGTCATTTCATTGATTTCGACGAGAGACCATTTTTTAAACACTTAGGATCATTTCTTTCGCATTCTCGAGGTAGATTTTTGTGTGAGTTTATGATTTATTTATATAATAATAGATGCAGTTTGAAATGTTGATTGATTTAACTGTTATTTGATTGATTCTTCTGAAGAACTTTACTTCTGAAGAACTTTACTTCTGAAGCAGGGGTGTTCAACCTTTTTTTCTGGGCCACATTGGAAGATGTCATAAAGATTTGGGCCACAAGTATATTATATATACTTGTGGCCCAATCCTTAAATATACTAGTATANCTTTGTGTCATTTCTTGCACAATTGTAATTCAGTGACAGAAATTGGTTTATAGCAACTTGATGCCGTATTCGAAAGAAAATGCTTTCCTGTGTTCAAAAAGTAATTAAATTTCAATGCATATTTGCCGTAAATCAAATTTATATGAAATTATTCAAATACGGCAATTATGAAAGTTTTTATTGCGTATTGCAGATAGGTTTAGCGTACTATGCACAGAAAAATAAAAACAAACTTATAATGAGTCCAAGTTTTTTATTATAGTTTTAAATTGATTCAAATAATGATATTTCGTTTCATAAAGAATTAACATGTACAGAACGTCCTGCAAACAATAAATTGCTTCAATTCATTTTTGAAATCTTCACAGTCTTTTTGCATTGTTTGAATAAAATAACAGAAGCAACTGTTATTTTATTCAAATTTCAAAATTTTATGATTAAAATAATATTGAACGCATTTAATTGAAGTCATTTCATTGATTTCGACGAGAGACCATTTTTTAAACACTTAGGATCATTTCTTTCTCGAAGTAGATTTTTGTGTTAGTTTATGATTTATTTATATAATAATAGATGCAGTTTAAAATGTTGATTGATTTAACTGTCTTTGATTGATTCTTCTGACGAACTTTACTTCTAGGGTGTCCAACCTTTTTTTTTCCTCTGGGCCACATTGGAAGATGTCATGGAGATTTGGGCCACAAGTATATTATATATACTTGTGGTCCAATCCTTAAATATACTTGTATATTTAAGGATTAACATGCCTAGATTATAGTAATAAGTATTAAATCTTTATCACGAAAAAGGATATATTAAAAAATTACTTTTACAAACACTTTCAATTTTTACTTAGAAATAGATAAATTAATTTATTATAAACGAGACAAACAAAAATTTATTTGAAAAACACAAATATTTTGTTTTATTTGGGTCTATAATTAATAAAAAATGACAAAACACTATTTTAAAGTGCATTTTTATTCGACTAATATATTTATAAATAATATGTAGCCCAAAACGTAGCCAATGCGCCAAATGATATTTTTTACGCCAAACTAAAAAAAGGGCCGGCAACTTTGGCGCAAAGTAGCCAAATCATGCATTCTATATCCTTTGGAAGAGTTACAAAAGGCCTAATAAGGAATAAAGACTGTAAATTCCTTACAAATATAAATAAATATGTAGCCCAAAACGTAGCCAATGCGCCAAATAATATTTTATGCAAAACTAAAAAAAAAGAGTTGCCAAATTTAGCGAAAAGTAGTCAAATCTGGCAANAAAAAGGATATTTTAAAAAATTACTTCTACAGACATTTCCAATTTTTACTTAGAAATAGATAAATTAATTTATTATAAAGGAGACAAACAAAAATTTATTTGAAAAACAAAGATAACATTTTTTGGGACTAAATTTACTAAATAATGACAAGCAGTTATTTTAAAGTGCATTTTTATTCGACTAATATATTTATAAATAATATGTAGCCCAAAACGTAACCAATGAGCCAAATGATATTTTTTACGCCAAACTAAAAAAAGGGCAGCCAACTTTGGCGCAAAGTAGCCAAATCATGCAACGCTGGAATAAATACTAAATAAAGCTGGAGTTGGGACTCAAAGAATTATAGACCCAAATGCGAAAAAGGAGAGAAAGGACAAAAGATAAAGAAGCGAGGAAAATTGGAAAATTAAGAATTCATACAGTATTTGCATAACACAAAGTCTATTTAACCTTTCTTACTACTTATTATCTTTTGGCCTTTCTCTCCTTTCCCCGAATTTGGGTCTAGAAGTCTTTGAGTCTCAACTTTAGCTTTATTTAGTATCCCTTCCTCATTCACACATTTCCAAGTACAGTGGAACCTCGGTATACGACCTTAATCCGTTCCTGGTGTTTGGACTTATACCGAATAGGACGTATACCAAACCAACCTTTTCCATAAGAAGTAATGTAAAAATGATTAATCCGTTCTCATGTAAAAAAATGGCTGGATTTAAACACCTCGCTTTCCTGGCTAGTTCCTGCTTGATTTTTCATTAGATCAGCATATATTTTTTTAGCTTTCCCGCAAATAATTGCTTCTGATACGCTTTCGCCAGCACACTGTTTTTCAGTTATCCAAAGCAAAAGCAATTTCTCAACATGAACTAATGTCTTCGATCTCTGTTTAGAAATTGATTTAACCCCTTTCGCAATGTTAGCAGATTTAATAATGTCTTTATTTTTCACGATTGTCGATATCGTCGTTCTNCAAATGATATTTTTTACGCCAAACTAAAAAAAGGGCAGCCAACTTTGGCGCAAAGTAGCCAAATCATGCAACGCTGGAATAAATACTAAATAAAGCTGGAGTTGGGACTCAAAGAATTATAGACCCAAATGCGAAAAAGGAGAGAAAGGACAAACGATAAAAAAGCGAGAAAGGTTGGAAAATTAAGAATTCATACAGTATTTGCATAACAGAAAGTCTATTTAACCTTTTTCACTACTTATTATCTTTTGGCCTTTCTCTCCTTTCCCCGATTTTGGGTCTATAATTCTTTGAGTCTCGACTTTAGCTTTATTAGTATTCCTTCCTCATTCACACATTTCCAAGTANAAAGCAATTTCTCGACATGAACTAATGTCTTCGATCTCTGTTTAGAAATTGATTTAACCCCTTTCGCAATGTTAGCAGATTTAATAATGTCTTTATTTTTCACGATTGTCGATATCGTCGTTCTTCGAATACGGCATGCAGCAGTTAAACCTCGAACACGCATGCCACCTTCACATTTCTCAACAATCTCTTTTTTCAGTTCCAATGTGATTCAAGTCATTTTTTAGTTTTCTGTTGCTTTTTGCAATTCATAAAAATAATAAAATTTTACTTACAAATTAAATCAGAAGAAATTTAACAAAGTTATAAACCGCCAACTTCTAGTATGGTCTAATACATCGATAGTGCTACTTGCTCATAGATGGCGCGTATAATTGAATTAAGTCTTATATCGAACAAAAGTCGTATACCGAGCAAAATTTGTTTCGTCCAAACAGGACGTATTCCGAATTGGACGTATTCTAAAGCAGACATATACCGAGGTACCACTGTATTTGAAAATATTTCCTTTCCACTCAAAACTAAAATATATATAAAGGTTTACGGCTTTGTAAAACTTCTTTTCTTTCAGTATATGGCGTTAAAATAAACAAATAAAATTAAATTACAAAGTTTGTCGGTTTTGTTTACACGTTTATTGGGCTGCATTGGAACTTGCCTTGGGCCGCATGCGGCTAGCAAGCGGCAAGTTGGACACCCTGGTGTACACTCTTTTATATTGTGTGAGTTACTAAGTTACTATATCCAAGTAGTTTAGTCATGCGCAGTAACGTAGCGTAGTGGGGGCGGCAGGGGCGGCCCGTCCCGGGCAGTACTTTTTAGGGGGCAGCAAAATTTCACAATAAATAATAATAATATCTTGTAAGAATTTGAACCATTTTATTTCATATTTTCGTTCACCTACGACTCAGACCGATTGAAATGAGCACGGAATAGCGTTACTATCCATCCAGATAATCCGGGAATTGACTCGCCGTCCGGGATATCGTGCGCAACCTGTTGACCTTTTTTTTTATTTTGCTTGTACTATTTATTCGTATATATATACACCTCAAATATCCAATACAGCTAGGTCACTTGAGTTACTCTTATCCAAGTCTCCCTAGTCGCTAACTGTAACTGATTTAGAACCAGCATGCACTGCACATTATTCTTCGCATTGCAAAATGACATATGCATGCGTCAGGAACTTTTATTCGAACAAACCTCACCTGCCGTCCGGGTCAGCGATTTTAATAAGGTGACAACAGTAGCACAGAATTTTTCATTACTTATTCTGTGACGAAACTGAATTTTAGTCTTTTAAATTGTGATACCTAAATAAGGGGGCGAAGTTTTCCTCCGCCACGGGCGGCTGACACCCACGCTACGCCACTGGTCATGCGTAAAGTGCATAAGATTATGGGCCACGGGTTGGACACTCCTGTTGTGACGAATTATTGGGCCAATTTGATTCAAATCATCATTCTGAAAACAACTCATTTTCTCAACCGCTTTAGCTTTCAGCTGCGAGAAAATCACTACTGTCACACGAAGTGTAAGAACATGCTTCGCAATACTTGGCATGTAAATGAATGGAAATACATTTATCAATTAAAATTGAAAGAACCTATGTTGTGTCCAAATATTTTTGCATAGTATATAGGTCTTAACCCGTCGCGTATGAAGAAATTTTGATATTAATGTAATTAAACATAAAAAATATTTAAAACTAAGAAAAACGAAAGAATAATGCATTAATTTTGTAGAAAAGGCTTCAAATTTTATTCTCCTTTGTCTCGCCTTTCTGTGAAATCTGACGCTGATGAGTCATTGTTTACACAGCTGGATGACCTTGAACACAGCTGGAACTGGATTTCCCGGGACATTCTCATAGAAGTCTCCGGAGGCGATGGGTTTATAGTAGGCTGAATACAAGCTGGCTGTATATTTTTAAATATTTTTTAAAAATTCAAATTTTTATTGCGATTTTTGACCCCTCCCGACTTAATTAACCTTATATATAATAAAATCTATTAATTAAAAAAAATTTACAAACTATCAGAGGTCGTTTTTGATATCAGAAACTAGCTTTAAATAACTTTACCGAAGGAAAATCCGTGCACTACAACTTTAGAACGATGAATGAAATTTGATATCAAACTCCCATTAAAAACAATTAAAAAGCAATAAAGCGTGAATCGTGCGTCTTTAAAGATAAATTAAAATCGCGATAAAATTCGCGAGGAAAAAATTTTGAAAAAATTTGGAGACTTAAAAAACATTCCAAAAANTTACACTAAAAACCCAGATTAATTGTTTTTGCAAAATCCTAGAAGCATATTTTTGATTTTATCAAGCCGTGTATGCTTCAGAAATATAAAATAGTTAATTTAGATTAGTTTTAAAATGAGAATGCTGTTTAAACGTGTTTAGAAATTTTTGAATTTGAATCAGTTTGACCACTAATTCTTATTAGTGATTTACATCTTGAAAGCACTTTCCAATAAAATCTACGTATTAAAAATATAAGTGCTATTAGTTTGTTGCTTTTATATTTGAAATAAAACTAAAATTTGAAAGTATAAAATAAGCGAGTGTTTACTTTAAACGTAATTAATTATAATAAAACCTTTTCAAAGGGAATAATGGTTGGTATGGGTCAAAAAGATAGCTATGTTGGTGACGAAGCTCAGAGTAAAAGAGGAATTTTGACTTTAAAATATCCCATCGAGCATGGAATAGTTACCAATTGGGACGATATGGAAAAAATATGGCATCATACATTTTACAACGAATTAAGAGTTGCACCGGAAGAACATCCAGTCCTTTTAACAGAAGCACCTTTAAATCCCAAGGCAAACAGAGAAAAAATGACTCAAGTAAATTGTTTGTTATTCATAGCTTTATATTTTAGTTTATAAAAATATGTCATAAATGTTTACATCATTTTAGACTAGTATAAATATATTATTTAAATCAGGGGTGTCCAACCCGCGGCCCGCGGGCCGCATGCGGCCCAAGACAAGTTCCAATGCGGCCCAATAAACGTGTAAACAAAACTGACAAATGTTTTAATTTTTTATTATATATTTATTTCAACGGCATAAACTCAAAAAAGAAGTTTCGAAAAGCTGTAAACCTTTATTCATATTTTATTTTTCAGTGGAAAGGAAATATTTTCAAATACTTGGAGATGTGTGAATGAGGAAGGATTACTAAATAAAGCTGGAGTTGTGACTCAAAGAATTATAGACCCAAATTTGGGAAAGGAGGGAAAGGTGAGAAAAGACAAAAGATGTAGTAGTGAAAAAGATTAAATAGATCTTCTGTTAAGCAAATATGAACCCTTAATTTTCCAACCCGTCTCACTTTTTCATCTTTTGTCTTTTCTCTCCTTTCCCCGCATTTGGTCTATAATCCTTTGAGTCACAACTCCAGCTTTATTTATTATTTCTTCCAACGTTGCAAGATTTGGCTACATTTGCGCCAAATGTGGCTACTTTTTTTGGTTTGAGGTAAAGAATATCATTTGGCGCTTTGGCTACTTCTTGGGCTACATATTATTTATATATTAGTTGAATAAAAATGCACTTTAAAATGATGTTTCGTCGCTTTTTATTAATTAGAGGCCCAAATAAAACAAATATTTGTGTTTTTCAAATAAATTTTCGTTTGTCTTTTTTATAGTAAACTAGCTTACCCGTCGCGCATTGCTGCGATTTCAGAAGAAACGAAATTCAAGCAAACTCATTATGATAAAATTAAATTTACATTTTATCATTTCTATTGAAAAACTTATTATTATATTATTATTATTAATTTTCATCGGAAAAGCATTTCAAAGTGTCGTTTCAATTCTATTTACTTATTGGAGTGCTTGTGGACACACGATATTTTTTGTTTTTTCGTCTGGTGCGTACACGAATAAATCAGAAGGTTTTCCGACGCATGATACAGTTGTACAGACCACATACAGTTGTACTGTACATGTGAGAAGCACGGATTCTTTAAATTTAGCCCAATACTCACAGAGATTGTTAGAAGGCGATATTCCTCATTTTTATATATATTTTTAAATCCTTTATAATTTTCATTATTTAATTGCTCCTTCCTCTCTTTCTTGGCATGTTGTGAAATTTCTGATAGTTGGATAATAAACCGTTTTATTGTAATTTGTCTTTTTAAATTATTTTGAGTCGATATTAAAATTTGGAAAAGGGGGATCCCTAGATCGGTAAAATAGGCGAATTTCCTCCTACAACTTCGGTTGTTGTTCGGAATACGGTTAAGGTTTTAACAAAGTTCGAGCGAATACATAATTAGCAAAAAATAGTTGAATATAAAGTGATTAAACAAAAATTATTACAAATATCGTAAATAACAGTTCACAAATGCATATAAAGAGATATTTTTGGAGGGGGAAATGGTCTTCACAATTTGAAATCGATCTAACACACAGTGCTCGAATGCTCGTGTAAACGCGCGCCATCTATCGTATGATAAATGTACTTCGTGGGAGTGTATTCAAAAACTTTCCAAAAGTTTCATGTCAATCGTACTATGCCACAAACCTTCGCCGGAGTATATTAAACAACTTCCCAAAGTTTCACGGCAATCGGATAAACGGTGTAGTAATGCATGAAGGACAGACAGACACACAGACATACATTCATTTTTATATATATAGATGAATTTGTCTATTTCTAAGTAAAATTGAAAGTGTCTGTAGAAGTAATTTTTTAAAATATCCTTTTTCGTGATAAAGATTTAATACTTATTATTATAATCTAGATGTGTTAATCCTTTAGTATACTTGTATATTGGGCAACGAGTATATATAATATATACTTGTGGCCCAAAACTCCTTGTCTTCTTCCAATGCGGCCCAAAGAAACTAAAAGGTTGGACACCCCTGATTTAATCATATATTATGTATAATAATACAAACCAAACAAACCGCCGTATTATTAAGTTACGATTAGGCCTTTTGTAAATTTAATTTAGTATTTTTCAAAGAAAGTTTAAATTTCATTCACGTTTATTATATTCATTAAAATTTTCAGGAGAGGCAGCCTAACCTGTTGCTAAATTATTTCTTATCTAGTTCTTAAATTAGTCTTATTGTAGACCTATACGAAAACATATTTTCGTTTGGCTTTGATTATTAATCAGGTTTGTGAATATAATTTATTAACCATAAATTATTGTTTAACTTAAAACAAAAAAACAATATAAAACATACAATGCTTATATAATTCTAAAGTATAATAAAGTGTTGACTGTTATAAAGTTAGTATTTGAGGAATACCACGTATTAATGGAAAGCCCAATACTCTACAAAGTTAACGCCTACTTCATATTTATAGAAAATTTTTAAAGAATACCTACGTTAAGGAAATATTTCAACGTGGGATCATTGCGTGCTATACACGAAAAATCTCCTTTTTCTACAGCAGATGCCAACTCCTCAAATGTTCTCGGTACGACATCTTCGGGCGGAGTTGTCATGAAAGACGTCAAAATGCCACCGTAACCCCAGACAAAAATTAGGACAGGTAACAACCAAAGGCCGAGAGACAATCTACACGAATTTCTTTTAATTGACGCTAAATTCACTCCTAGAAAATAAAAACAAATCTAGTTAACGTTTCAGCAATCATTTTATTTATCATGTTAATTGGTAATGTTACAATTTATTTTATGGACATTAAATACCTTGATTAACGAACGTTGCGAAAAGAAACCAACATAAATTTTTATAATTCCATATTTTCTCTCTTCTAGTTACTGAAAAACTGAAATTTATAATTTTGTATAACAATATTCCAGCAACCGTCGTGGTTATGCAAATTGCTAGCCATACCTGCAGGAGAGATTTGTCTATTTACTCCTAAAAACAATACAACAAATAACACTGGGATAAAGAAGTACGATACATACCCAAAGTGAGAAGGGATTAATTATTGCCAGCCACGACAGTTTCTTATGGTTTAGTTGAATAATGAATTTAATTGCCAGAGAGTCAACGGGTGAAGAAAAATCGATTGTACTAAACAACTGAAATGAAACACTTTGGAGTGAAGTTGCAATATCAGCATCCTATTTATAATATAAAAAGAAAATTATTTTATAAATGTAAAACCAAAGGAACTACGTAAATATAATAAAGTTGAAGATAGGTAGTAAATATATTTTACAAAATGAAATAATTTCATGAATATTTTTAATAATATTAATCACAAAAAATAAATTTTTTAATCGGAAATCAACATTTTCTTTCGAACGTTCACATGTCGTATTAACACAGTAAAATAAATATTGGCTTTTCTGATTAAATTTTTAATTAAAATAGAACTTGCATAAAGACAATACATTAATTAATAAATTTTTGTCAATTGAAATAGTCTTAAGTGGCGTAATGCATTTGAAGTTATTAATCTTTGGATACACAACTGCTAAATTGACATTCCTCGAATGAGCAAAAATAAATTAATTTACTTGCAATCTGTTAAAAAATATGTAGTTTATTTAATTGCAGATGTTTTAATGCAGGCTTCTTAATATTTTCTCTATTCGTGAATTTATTTACCTCGATATTCCAACATTATCTGGTTTTCTTACACATCGATTCCAAATATTTTTTCGTTTATAAATATTTGTACTTCTTAAAGCTTTACTATTTTAATTCAATTCTAATTGTAAGCATAAAGTTAATTTGTTACCTACTTGAGTATTCTTTAATACTTAAACGAAAAATAAACAAATCCAGTTCATATCTACAATAAAACGGAGGAAATAATGAATGAAAATGTTCAAGGACAGACGTAAAAAATTAGATCACTTCAAGAGGCGATTCAGAGTCAATCCGAATACCGTAAAGGCCATAATTAACAAAAGAAAGGAAGTAACGAAGTTAATGAATAGGGAAGATTAGACGAACGCACAATGAAGAAATACATGACATTCTCTAATATTTACAAAGAAATAGGAGCAGCAACAAACAAACTGATAGTTCACAAAAAACCTAACACTATATTACACGCTATGTACTGTTAGATTTTTTGTATATTATATGCTATGTACGGAAATGGAAGCTACAGACCAGAACCTTATTCTTTTAATTTAAAAAATACCTTGCAAGAGGAAAGGCTGCAAAAAGAGCTTTATTACCTTTGAGCCACAGAGAGTTCGTTAAAAGAAAGAGTCAGAGTACAAAAGTTACTTACGGAATGAGCAGCTAGTCACTGCACTAGCGACTTATGCTATAGTAGACCAGATAAAGGTAATAGTGAAGTGGAAACGAACAGAAGTAATATAAAAGAGTCAGGAGAAGCGACACGTTAAATACGCGGAAGCAAGACAAATACAGAAGACCAACCAAACAGGAGAAGTGATAAAATTTAAAGAATCGAATAGTTTCAGAGGCATGGAGACCGGGCATAATATGAAAATATTAGTGAGAAAAAAGGGAATTTAAGAAATAACCACAGTTGTTTCCTTGTGTCTTTCGGTAAAAATCGGAATCTTTCGATTTTCTTGAAGAAAGTCAATAAACTGACAGAAAACCTTAGAATATTTAATAAAACGACTGCATATTAAAAGATATTTTAAGTTTGGTTGATTTTAAGTGCAGTCAGAAAAGAATGAAAATGTTTCAATATTTGCTATTGAAATCTTTTACAGGAATTTGCTTCAAAACGAACTATTACTAAAGTATACATTCGAAATACTACAATAATTACTCAGGGCAGTTGTTGGCGTCTAATATCCGATGCCTCCAGAAAGAACTCGCGGCCAGCAATCCCAATATAATCGTTTTTATTTCTCATGTTTTTATCCTCGATGGATTTGCTCAATTTCATATTAAAATTAATGTTTTTATTTTCTCTCGGATTTGATTTTTATACATTAAGCGGTTTCATTTAATTATTTTCAAAATAAAAATACTATCTTCTTGCGTGACGTAGAAATTGTGGAAGTAACGAAGAACAATAGAAAAGTAGTTAAACTATAGAAATACAGGTATCCCTCGTATAACATGTTCCAAAAAAGTACGTGGTATGTGAATCCGTGCTATAATAAGCGAAGGACTAGTGCAAAACATGGTGTTAGATTCCAAAAGTTTATAAAAGTATGCAATTTTTTTCGTTACCAATAGAAATGTGTTTATTAAAGCAATTGATAATTTATTCTAATCGATAATTAACTGACAATTACAACTAAATGTACTGAATGCCGCTGTAGCATTAATTTTAATTAAATCTGTGAAATTTCTTATTACGAATATTGCCTTCTGATCTGTTCTCTTTTCTGTCGACCTTGATTAGAAGTCTCACCAACATCAGAATTTTTTTATTTTTACCATAGAAATTTTTATGAATGACAAAATAAAAATATGTTATTAATCGCAAATTTGTTTTACCGGGTAAACGCTAGCCGCTAGAACAAATTTTAAATTTATAACTTATTTTTATTTAGTCATCTATTAAAAACCATTCATTCCAGTACCGAGCGATTTTTGTTTCCAGAACAGGTGTTCGAGTATCGAGATATCGCCGTATTTTATTCGTCAATTTTACGAATGATTACTTACATATTACTAAAATGTTTAATAACATTTACATAAAAATGTTTAAATAAACGTTACTAAATACGAAGTTTAGTCTATAAAAACAACACACGGCGACAGCTATAAAGACTAAAGTCTGAAAACAACAATGACACCTGGTTGATAAAAAAGTTAAGACATGAAAGAAAAATTGCCCTATTAGATTTCCTTATAGTAAATCTGACGAAAGAAACAAAACAAATTGAAAATTTCAATATTCTAAAATCCGTTCACAAATTTGAGACATCGTGCATACTTCAATGAAAAAATATCGAATAGCGGAGTTTACGCTTAAAAAGTGTGAAATTTTTTACGGAGAATTTCCTAAATTATTAATGGTATATTGTTCATAAATGTAGAAAATTCAATATTCCATAAACAAGTACATTTACTTACTGAATTTTTATTTCAAAAAAAGAATTTTTAGCTATTACCTAACGAATTTATTACTCATAATTGAAGTTTTAGACTATGTACAAAAAATATAAAATTTTTGAGTCTATCTCAATCCTTTTTTATACAACACCAGAAGTAACAGTTAACATGGCTTTTTTATTGAAGAATAACTTCTTAAAAAACAAAGGTAAACGAGTAAAAAGAGAGATCACAATGTTAAAAACGATCAAGTGTCAGCCTTCTGTTGTAGGTTCTGACACTTTACATTAAAAACATGAAGAATTCTTCTCACCATACTGTCCTTATCCATTCTTTAACTGCTTCAGGCCCTCTGGTGGTAATTTCGAGTTATCCTACTTATTTGCATATTAACACAATTTCTGTAAT